CAAACACTTCAGAAAGCAATTTGATAGTATCTAGTAAAATTGACTCTCCTATACTGACAATACCAATTCTAGGTACATGCCTCAGAGAAACCTACCACATATACACAAGGAATTAACATGTAAGGATGTTTGTTACAGAACTATCTATTTTTTTCCTGTGCTGGGGGTTTAACACAGCACTGTTCTACCATCAAACTTTATCTACAGCCCTTTCTATTGATTATTTTTAGACAGGGTCTTGTTAAGTTGCCCAGGCTGGCCTCAAACTTGGGATCCACATCTCTGTCTCCTGAGTTGCTGGCATTACAAATGTGCACCACCACATCCAATTTATAACATCAAACAATCATAAGTGACATTTGGAAAGAAGATAGAATGAAACATTATGTGTATGCACACATAGGTAAAAACAAATCCCATACAACTATGATGCACCAATAAAAAATATAGGAAAAAATATAAAAGAATGAAGTGTCTCAGGATAGTGATTAGTACTGATTGTCTTTTTTGCGGGGGAGGGAAGCCAGAGATTGGACTCAGAGGCACTCAACCATTGAGCCGCATCCCAGCCTATTTTTGTATTTCATTTAGAGACAGGATCTGAGTTACTTAGCACCTCACTTTTGCTGAGGCTGGCTTTGAAATCATGATCCTCCTGCCTCAACCTCCGGAGCTGCTGGTATTACAGGCATGCGCCACTGCACCAGCTCTGATTGTCTTTTAAGAGACAGTGAAGGAAATAGGATTAAGGAACAGAACAAAGGGACCTAATTTTGTTCCTTAAAAGAATGAAGAAAAAAAGGCAAACAAACTTATTAAATTTGAGGATAGGTATATGGATGTTTTCATAATATTTTCTAGACCCTTCTGCATGGTTTGAAATTTTCATTAAAGTAAAACAGAAAACTAAATACTGAATTATTTCTAAAAGGAAAATAAACATATTTCATAATGTTTCAATGTGTGATGCCAAATCTTGACATTAGGTAGAAGTTTTTGGAAAAAGAACTATTTCTGTGGCAGACTAAGAATTTTTTTTTTTTTTTTAAAGAGACTACACTTAATCTGGCACAGTGACACAAGCCTATTATCCCAGCAATTTAGGAGGCTGAGGCAGGAGGTTGAGGCAGGAGGTTCACAAATTTGAAAACAGCCTGGGCAATTTAGCAAGGCCCTAAGCAATTTATCAAGAATCTGTCTCAAAATAAAAAATAAAAAGGGCTGGGGATGTGGCTCAGTGGTTAAGAACTCCTGGGTTCAATCCATGGTACCAAAAAAAGAAAAATTAAAGACTACATTTTTGGGTATAGTGGTTCATGCCTATAATCCCAGCAACTACAAAGGCTAGGGCAATAGAATCAAAAGTTCAAGACCACCCTAAGCAACTTAGCAAGACTCTGTCTCAAAACATAAAAAGGCTGGAGGTATGAATCAATAGTAAAAATTCCTGAGTTCTAACACCAAAGAAATTAAAAATTTTTTAAAGACAAGACTGGCTGGGAGTGGTGGACCATACCTGTAATCCCAGCGGCTTGGGAGGCTGAGGCAGGAGGATTGGGATTCAAAGACAGCCTCAGGAAAAGTGAGGCACTAAGCAACTTAGTGAGACCCTGTCTCTAAATAAAATATAATATAGGACTGTCAAGTGCCCCTGAGTTCAATCCCCAGTACCCAGTAAATAAATAAATAATAAAGACAGCTATATTTCCACTTAAATGTGAACTTCTTAATACTTATTTGCCTATAGAAAAATAATAAATCAATGTAATTTTAATCCTTAAAAACTTTAAAATTTATATGTATTTAGGTACTAGGATTGAACCCAAGCATGCTTAACCACTGAGCCACATTCCCCAGCCTTTTTTCAAATTTTATTTTAAGACAGGGTCTCACTAAATTGTTTAGGGCCTCACTAAAGTTGCTGAGGCTGGCTTTGAACTTGCAATCCTCCTGCTTCAGTCTCCTGAGCCTTTGGTGTTACAGATGTGTATCACTAAACCCAGCTAAGAGAATCATGATGGGGATGCTAAGCCTAGAATAATCATAAAAAACAGTAATACAAAAATGAATGTTTGGCTGACTTTTTAACTGGTGCACAAAAATATATGAGAATATTATTCTTGTAGAAAATCAATATCCAAATAATCTGTGAAATTCAAAATTATAATCCATGTAATCAATCACCACTAAGAATGGAATTGTATTATATAGTACTATATATTTACATATTTTAGAAAATATATCAACTATGCATATGAGATCATAACTATTCAAATAAAAAGCCAAGTACGTAATTAAGAAGTATGGTAGACAGAACCTCAGAAACAAACCAGGTCAAAATTTTTCCAGAAAGTATATGGTAGTTATGGGGGAGTTATTTATCTAAAAATGAAGAGCCCATAGGCATTGTACCCAAATTTTATTCAATATTTGATTGTCATTAAAGTGACATATTTTCAAAGAAATTTAAGGTGTGTAAATGATCAAAAGGCTATATATCTGAACATTTGGGGAAACAATTTTATGAAAGCAAAAATATTAATATCAAAAGTATCTTGGGCTGGGCATGGTAGTGTATGTCTATAATTCTAGCTACTTAGGATGCTGAGGCAGAAGGATTGCAATTTTGAGGCCAGCAGCAAAAGGGGTAGGGGTGTAACTCAATGGTTGAGCACCCCTGGATTCCATCCCCATTCTCTCTCTCTCTCTCTCTCTCTCTCTCTCTCACACACACACACACACACACACACACACACACACAAATTGATTTGGAACCAGAGGCATATTTCCAGTAGTGATACTATGTTTTCCATTGTAGTTTACACAAAATAATCTGGGAATGAATTTGAGAACTTACGTCAAACTGAATCCACTTGCATCAGGTGTTCTCATCTAACATAGAGAAAGCAAATAGCAAACATCGCTTAAAACTACAATAGACTAGTTATCTATAATGAAATCCAAGAACAGTAAATATTATTTAGTGAAATAACAAATCTACTAGTTAGTCCATTCCTAAGTTGATCTGACATGACGGAGAGGTTATTTATTCAATAGAAGCCAGGTGAAACAGAAAAAAATACATTTTTTTTCTATTGCTATATAAGCCTAAGTACTAATGCCTTGGGAACCCATCCATATGGATATAAATGTTCCTAGTACTGCTTTGTGATTTTTATCTGAAAAAAAATTCCCTCTTGCTGCATTTTTATTTCAAATCAACATTCAAGGTCTTCCAGGTATTAAAGTAACATCAAAGTAACTCATAGATTTTTATCAGAACAACTTGATTTTGAGTAATACAGGAAAAAAAAAGTCATATCAGAATTAAGCAGCCATAACTATTTCTATCAACATACCAATTTCCATTATGGGCAAAGAATTTCTTCAAATTTCTAATGAATAACATCACAAATGATCATATTGAAGATACATATATTGGCATAAAATTTCATTAGTAATATTTTGGCTAAACACATTACAAAATAATCTTCATGACATGATTTTTCAAATTCTCTTCGCTTTTTCGTTTTGTTCTACTGAATGTCAAGGAGAAAGCTCTCCAACTCCCCAATATCCACTACCAGAAAGATAACAGAGCAATCTAGTGGCAGAGTAAAAAGCAAAGTATCTATTCTACTCTTTGGATCTTGAGAGATTGATATAAGAAAACAATTCCTAACAGCCAATAAAAACAAATGGCATGACAAATCTTTTTGGGAAATATTTAAGGTAAAATATTAATAAACAAAAATTAATGAAAAATAGTTGAGAAGTGTTATTCCTGTAGATGAGGTTCCTCTTCAAATGAGGAATTTGAAAGCACCACAAATTCAACCTAGCATTTATAAATCTTAGGAGTCTAGCATCTACCCAGGAAAGTGTTTAAATTGAACCAAGTAATTCACAATCAAGACACCCAGTGAGTTCAATGTCCAGACAGTATAGAAAAATTACACAAATTCCAATACAAAAACTGAAAAAAGCAAACAACCCAAAGATATCTGAATACTTGTTAATATTAGATTTACTCCTCAGCAGCACCAAGTATTTTTTTACCATCTATGCCAGTAATTGTTATTGGAGGTCAAAATGATGTCTTGCACAGGTAAAGTCTCAACAAAACAAGGCTAGGAGTCAAAAGAAGACATTAAATTAGCATTTAAAGGCTTTCTTCCAACACTGTTCTGAGGATTTTCAGGGTCAGTCTGGTTTGGGAGCAAAACTACAGTGGCAAACACATTAGACCTTCTCCATTCCAACTCTGTGTATGTCAGGGTATGGGAATGTAATACCAGCACCTTGCCTAACATAAATTAAAACACTAATCAAAAAGACATTCTCCATTGACTTTTCAGACTACAGAAAAAGCTTCATGCTATTGAAAATATGTCCTGTCATTTTTAAAACTTAGTTTTATATAATTCAAAATATATGTCAAAGACAGACATAGTGGTGAACAACTGTGGTTCCAGCCATCTGGAGCCTGCGGTGGGAGGACTCCTTGAGTCCAGGAGTTAGAGACCAGCTTGGGCGATACAGCAAAACTTCATCTCGAAATAAAAAAATAAATAAATAAAACATAAGTCAAATTCAGTGGGGAAAAAAAACTGAAAAAAAGATTTTTCTCCTCCTTATAGAGTTATTTAATTTGCCCTTATAACCTTTTTTAAGAACTTCCCAATAGCAACTAAAATCAGGTTGATAGTCATCCCTTTTTATTAACAACTCATCTGAGTAACCCCACCGAGAGAACTAAAATGCCCAAGAAGTTATCCCAGGGATAAGTCACCATGTGAAAAGTACAAAATATTTTTTTTCCTATAGCAGAATATGGCTCAAAAACACAGTATGATAAAATTTCTTTTTTCTTTTTAGGTGCTGGAGGTGGAACCCAGGGCCTTATGAATGCTGAGCACAATTTGCTACTGAACTACATCTCCAACCCAGAATTTTTAATATAAAGAAAATACAGTCAAAATATAAGTCTACACTGAACATATGTGGAAAAGATATTTAATTGTAAAATAGAAAAGTAGGCCAGAGTACAGTTTTAAGGGCAATTGCTTCTTTATACAGTATAGGTAATCTAGAGGGTTATTAGGGTTAAACATTTTCATAAAGCAATAAAACATTAAAAAATAAAGCAAGAAAAAAGGGCTTGAAGTTATGTTTTACAAAAAAGAATGAACAGTCTTCAGAGTTTAAGGACCATACACTGTAGAATTCAAGAATATTGTGATGAGAGCAGGTTACAACATAGACATGGAGCTTTCACAGAGAAAAGTGTAAGTTACATCAGACATATCTATAGCATCACTGTAGTACAAAAAATTCTTGTTCTACATACAAAAGCAATTTTTTTCCATAAGAATAATTTCCTGGGGGAAAATAAGTCCATGAAATATTTCAGAAACCCATATACATTTGAGTTTTCAAAAAAACATTATCTTAAAATCCAGTGCCTTAAAGTGCTTTCATGTGGAAATCATGATGGAAGGCACAAATACAGTTTCACGTCCCCACAATGAAATTTTCAAAAAAGCATAGATTTTGCAGAGTTTTCAAATTATTCAAGTTATCTTGTAAGCTGCTCCTTCTAAGAACATTGTCATTCCAATAAAACCAACTACTAGCTTACTTAGTTTCAATTACCTACAGAATAAAAGGTTTGTGTGTTGTTGTTGTTGTTTTCTGGTAGTTTTCATCATCTTCGTGGGAAAAATATCTATGCAAGTGATGCATTTTGAAATTATAAAACATGCAGAATATGTACAAACAGAAAGTTTAAAAAATATTTGCTTCATATACATGTAAATCTACTTGGGTATAGCTGAAATTGAACAAATATAAAAATTTGCTTTCAAAAAAATGTTTTCAGAGAATCTGAGACAACTTAAAGCTGTACAAAAGATTTCCTGGGAGAAATCTTTTCTTCACATAGAAGTTTATACCTACAGGAGTAATTCCAGCATTAGTCCACCATAATTATTACACAACATTTGGTCTAATCAACAACGATCACCCTTAAAACTGTTCTGTCTCTGAGAAATTTAGGTTCATACTAAAAATCAAAAAGAAGCTCAATAACAGTGGCTTATTGTGTTTTTGGATCTCTTCAACAATTTTTTATCAACTCATGGAACTGTAAAAAAAAAATATTTACAGAGTTCAGTTTTAAATACATTTCACAACTTCTAAAGTAAAGTTTATGATACAAGAATTCAGAGCTCATGGCTTAAGTCCAATTATTGATCTGCAGTCTCTTCTATTTCCTGTATTTCCATGACTGTACTCTTTTTGTATACAGTTCAAGATTGCATTCTTTCTTGACCAAAAGTAAAATCAAATTACATGTTCATTTTAACTAAACAGCTTCTTTATTAGTCTGAAGACGAGTCATAGCTTCTAATTTCTGTCTGTAAGCCTCGGCTTCCTGTTCTTTCTTAAGAAGCTGCTGTCGATATTTTTGTGCTTCTCGATTTGCTTCATCCAGCTGTTTCTGAAGAGCTTCTCTCTCCTAAATTTAAAAAAAAATAAGTTTTTTTTCAATCACTGGTCAAATACATTACTAACACACTCAAGCATGTTTCTTTCACATAGAAAATCTGCAGTAGCCATAAGTAGATTTCTATTGATATTTCCTAGACATCTTACCTTTTCAACCAATTCACTAGTAATTAAATCATAATTTTTTTGCTCCACATTATAAGATGTAAATTACTTTCTAATCTCAAATTTCTGAGTTAAAAATAAGACTAACCCAAATGGGTATTTGTGCTTTCATATGTACTATAAAAACTTAAGTTTTCAAAGAGCCAGGTGACAGTGCTGCACACATATAATCCCAACCACTTGGGAGGCTGAGGTAGGAGGATCACAACTTCAAGTTCAAAGTCAGCCTGACTAAAACAATGAGACTTTGTTTCAAACTAAAAATAAAACAAAACAAAAAAGCAGAGTTTTAAGAGAAAACTATACAACTATACCTTTTTATATCTATATTTGTGATGTTTTCATCTAAAGGTAATGATAGAGATCTCTATCATTATATATGTATTAAATTCTTCAATAAGTTTAGAGCTGAAAAACAAATCCAATCTAATGAATAATGGTATTGTTTTTCCTCCTCCTCACCCTGTCCCTATTAGTTACTTCATATATTATGTATTATATACATTATATATTATATTATTATTAAATATGTAATATATTATATATTATATCTTATTATATATTTTAGGGAAAACATTTCAAATATTCCTTTCCCATACCTCTTGTAAGCACGTAAACAAAAGAGGTAACCTGCATAGGCCCAGACTCTAGGAAAGTTTCCATTATCTTAGGAATGAAACAACCTAGACAGGTGTGGTGGTGCACACCTGTAATCCCAATGATTCTGGAACCTGAAGCAGGAGGATCACAGGTTGGACCTTGTCTTGAAGTAAAAAATAAAATACAAAATAAAAAGGGCTGAGAATGTAGCTCAGCAATAAAGCACCCCTGGGTTAGAATCTCAGTATCAAACAAAAGGAATAAATCAACCCCATCACAGGATGCAGGGCCCTCTTAGTGAGGTAGAATTACAAATCAAGAAAATTCGGGCTCACTTTGGGCAAGAAATTTGACTAGAGGAAACTGAAGGTGAGGAGTGGGCAGCCTGCTAGAAGGGCAGTATAAGGGTCTATTCCTATATATCCACTGCCTCCTTGATACTTGCTCACTAAAGACACCAAGAGTCCCTTGTCTTTGTTTTTCATATGGTGCACAAGAAGGATCATATACAATCCACCTGCCTTCCTGTGATCCTGCCTCCTTTCCTACACTGAGAATGAAGTTAGATCCAACATTTATTTTTTCCATGGGCTGGCCAGAAATGGGAGTGACTGATTATATAAGTGGTCTCCAAATCTTCTAATTACACTAAGTGTTCAAGTATAATAAAAGAATGATTCTTACCACTAACCAGGCCCTACCCTGATGCTTCTTTATACCTTAGCCACCCTCTTCTTACCCTTTTCTAACCATAACTTTAGCAAAGATGAATGACAGCATAGGAACAAGCCAAATACCCAAGAGCCGAGCCTCAGGTAAATTATGAAAACTAGTACCTCCGCACATGATGAAGGATTTTGAGCATACCAATGGATAGGGGTAGAGGGTGAGACGGCTTGTGTACTGCTGCCTCAGGAGCTAGATATCACCTCTCTGGAAGGAACACTCTCAATCATGCAAAAGTATTTTAGAAATTTATATGTGTTCAGAGCACAGAAAGCAAGGAGTCTCAACTGCACCTCAGAGGACCTCATGTGCTATGCCTAAGTTTCTTTTTAAAACAAAACAACAACAACAAAAAAAAACCTTTACGTATATTAAGCAAGAAAGTCCTTTCGCAGCCAAAACTTAGAATATAGATAAAAATCTGCCCCAATTTAGTAGGAAATATTATATCACATTAAACCTAAAGTATCTTCTATTATTATCTATTTATTAATATTTAGACTCAGCAAGAGATTCACTATTATTGTAGAAGATACAAATAAACTGAGGTAAAACAGTCCAAAAATGACAATACTTTAATCCTATTATAAATAGAATATGTATATTTACATTCATATTTGTTTTTGCATGTGAATGCATATATACATATTTTATGTTTTCATGCTGGGGATCAACTTCAGGACCTCACACATGCTAGGCAAGTGCTTTACTACTAACCCCATCCCCAAAAAGTAGAATATATTTTAATATAAATAAAATGAAAGCTCCCTTCTGTCTACCAGGCCAAACAAAAGACTTCTTTTACACTGCATTTTTTTGACCAGATCTATAAAATCTGAAAAACAATGCTCATTAACACTATTCTTTGAATATACTGAAAGTATGATTAACATTATAAATTTTTATGGTGTTTTCCCTTTTTACTTAGTTCCTAGGAAAAGAATCTTTCTGCCACCTCACTTTTCAAAGCAAGTAATAATCTCTGAAAAGTGGAAAACATCATTTTCTATTTTACAAAAAGAGTCTTTGCTTCCCTGCTAATTTGTCAAACATTTACTGAATATACATCACATGCAAGACAGTTCCTTAATGCAAACAGTTGGTTGTTTGAAACATTAACAGTGGCAAGAGACTGACATTTGAAATTTATATTTAAATAGAAACACCAAACAAATGGCTTTAATCCTTTGCAATAAAACTACAATGAAAATGATTCTGACATTTTAAAGTAAACATAACTTAGTCTCCAAATATGTAATACTGAAGTGTTTTTCTAGGGATTGGAGTTACAACTCAGTGACAAATAATAACAATGCTTTACATGTGCCAGGACCTAGATTCAATCCCCAGCACAAAACAAAACCAAAAAAAAGATTTTTCTGTCAACATCTCAACATTGAAGAATTTGAAGGAAAAAAATCCTGATAATAATCAACATCTGGTGGCAATAAGGAATATATTTATCTAAGCCACAACTTCAAACCAAAGCAATTAGTTATTATTACATTTATTGCTAATGTAATAAATAAATAATTGAATGATAGGACAAGAAAAAAATCGAATGCCAGATGCACACCTGTAATCCCAGCAACTCAGGAGGCTGAGGCAGAAGGATTCCAGGTTCAAGACCAGCCTCAGCAACTTAGTGAGGCCCTAAGCAACTTAGTGAGATCATGTCTTAGAGTAAAAAATAAAAGGGGCCGGGGATAGAGCCCAGTGGTTAAGTGTCCTTGAGTTCAATCCCTAGTACCAAAAGAAAAAAAAAAAGATTTGAGCTTGGTTTATTTTCAAACAGGATTCTTTAATTCTGCTTTAGTTAACAGCAATGATCTCAAACACTTTTTATCATTTTTAAAATATAATTTTCTAATATTTCAATTTACATTTTGCTACTATAAAACCAAAAATATCACTATAGTGATTTATCTTCTACCATACTTAAATATGAAAGATAATAATAGCAATTAACATTTAAGTAAGCATTTACTATATGCTCATTTTTGCAAGAGTCCTCCTTACAATAATCTTACATTGCAGGTCCTATTGTTTTTCCATTTTTAGTGATAGTAAAACCAAGCCTTAAAATGTTAAATAACTTGACCAAGATCATACAATCAAAAAAATTATAAAATAACCAGTGTAACTCTACATCATGTATAACCACAAAAATGGGAAGTTATATTCCATGTATGTATAACATATCAAAATACACTCTACTGTCATGTATATCTAAAAAGAACAAATAAAAAATAAATTATAGGGCTGGAGTTGTGGCTCAGTGGTAGAGCGCTTGCCTAGCATGCGCAAGGCCCTGGGTTCAATCCCCAGCACCACATAAAAATAAATGAAATAAAAGCATTGTGTCCAACTACAACTAAAAAACAAAATTTAAAAAACAAATAAATAAATAAATAAATTTCGAAGTAACTAGATATGGGGGAGCAGACCCTGCAATCTCAGCAACTCAGTAGGCTGAAGCAGAAGGATCACAAGTTCAAGGCCAGCCTCAAAAAATTAGTGAGACCCTAAGCAACTCAGTGAGAACCTGTCTCAAAATCAAAAATAAAAAGGACTGAGGATGTAGCTCACTGGTAGAGTATCCGTGGGTTCAATCTCCAATAAAAATATGTATATATATGCATATCTACATATATATATATATATAATTTAAAACTAAATAAAATCTAAACCTAAATTTGATTCCAGACCCTTATTTTTAAAAAAAAAAAAATACTAAACACTAGAAAAAAAAATTTTTTTAAAGAAAAACTAGACCAGGTTTGTGCTATTTGCTTGTATATAAACTTCAATTTTCTTGCTGCCTTGGTTCAATTATAACAAATATTATCTTGTTTTTAATTAACAAACTATTCTTGACATACATCCACACCTACTCATTCCCAAATTGTCCATGGCTGCTTTCTCACTATAATGGCAGAACTGAGCAGCTGTAACAGAGACCAGCTCATAAAGTCAAAAAATTTCAATCTGGTCCTTTTACAAAAACACTTCATCTTCTTTGGTCCTAGAGAAACAAACTATCAAGAAGAAACACAACTACAGAAAATTTAAAATTTTAACATATCAAGAAAGATCTGTTAATAAAAGAAAAACAGATTGGAAAAAATTATAATAAACATTGACCTTACAGAGGTCAATTTTTAAAAGAGCACTAGGATCCTGATCCATCCCTGGTTAAAAGACACAAATATTTCATTAAAAATAACAGGGTTGGAGAAGTAGTTCAGTGGTAGAGTGCTAACATGAAAAAAGCCCTGAGTTAGCTGCCTAACACCATTAAAAAAAAAAAAAGTCTACTAGAAGAAAAAAAACATATGCCAACCTCAAAAATAAACAAACAAAATTCATTATTAAACTTACTTTTCTCTAATCTTTGTGACAAAGAAAGAGCAAAGGTCTTTCCTGAATTCACATAACTATGTAAGTAATAAGAGAAAATCTAATTCACTAATTAATTACATTAACTCCCTCCCATGTATACAAGAGTTAATTTCAGTTCAGATCAGGATATTGTTGCTTATTTATGGAAGAAATCTGTAAATAGTACACTTCCTTCAAAAATATCTTTAATAGAGTAATATTATCAAGAGGTGGTAACAGTTACATACACTATTGGAATTCATTCAATGTCTTCTATTTTCCCCTCCAAACTACAAACTCATTTCATTCCTTTATGTTTTTACAATGCAGATGTAAAAGTCAAAAAATTTAAAATAAAATTTCTACAATTTGAACTAATTTTCCCAGAGATTACTGGAGAAACCTTTTCATTGTTGGATGGAAAACTTGTAAACACAAAATTCTTGGCACCTTTGTTATAGACAGTCACTCTGGAAATTATGGACACGAGACATAAAACTCACACATCAGATTCTATATGTTAATCTTTTAATTCCTTTACAAGTTTTTAAATTTCATCATTATGAATATTTTTAGACCACATGAATCAAAATGCTGCCCTGTGCATTGCAAAGTGTCAAGCCAGTCTCTATCCACTAAATGCCAGTTGTATGCCACTAGTCATAACCAAAAATGTCTCCAGACACCACCAAATGTCCCCTGGAGTTAAAATTGCTCCAGTTGAGAATCATTGCTTAACAGAAACTCTTTGGATTATAATCAAGTTGTTACTTAAGAAATCAGTGTAAAAGTCTGCTAGAATATAAATTCAAAAGAATGACTTTATGTATTATAGAAAAATGATTACCTGTTTTGATATAAACACTGGAGGCCATCTCTTCATTCTTTAATTCTAGCTCACCTCTACTACCTATACTCACTGTATATGTCAAGGTCTCTGTGTAATAGCCCTTAAGAGGTCATGTAGCCTTGGCTTGAATATTTCCAGTGACAAAAAATAAGATTTCCATTACCAGAAAGTTCTATTAAAAATAAAACAAACAAAAAATACTCCTCTTTATTCAAGCGAAAACTCTATCACCCTAAGTTCTCTTTCCTTGGTCCTAGTATTAATACCTCAATTCCTACTTTCCTATTATTTGCAATCATTCTCCCTAATCTCTGAAAAATTATAAGAGAGGAATCAGGATGAACTTCTGAGGGAAACAGTAATGTTCGCTGGCTTGTACATAAAGGTACAGGCTGCACACTCATTGTTTTAAAACATAACTTATGGAACTGAATAAACTTCATCTAATAAAAATTCAAGTAACTTAAAAATACTTTATTAAACTTCATAACAAATATTTTTACCTTATATGCATTAAAAAGATGATCTGACAAATCAGGAAAGTATTAAATAATAAGTATACTGATATGTTCAATGGAATAATCTGTTAGCTTATGAATAAGACATTCAATATGCATAGCACTTTGAATTTTGAAGAAATAAAACCACCCACACTTAACAATTAAAGTCATTATTTTATCAGATATTCTGATTAAATCATCAAATGCTTTTTAACTCAATCATATATTATTTGTAATCAAGGTCAAAGATGTACAGCCTGATATTTAAATGAATATGAGACCAGGACTAGTGGCATACACCTGTATCCCCAGCTACTTAGGAAGCTGAGACAGCAAGATTTTTAGTTTAGTAACTTAGACCCTGTCTAAAAATAAAAAATAAAAAGGAGCTGGAAATGTAGAGCACCCCTGGGTTCAATTCCTAGTACCATAAAAAATATAACAACAATAAAAGATATATATGAGAAGTGTATTTTTAAAAATCTCCTTTTTCTGATAACAATAATCTTTTAAAAGAATTACTAAAGGCTCATCAAGTTTACTATACACATATCAGATACTACACATACATACATACATACATATATATATATATATATATATATATGAGTATGTTGACTTTTAAAATTCTCATTAAAACCCTAAAATGAGATATTATTATTCTAAATTCCAATTTGGGAGAAAATAAAACTGAGACCAAGAAAGACAACTTGCCTAAAAGTTGACAGATCAAGAGATAATATTCAAACCCAGATTCTCTGATGTCATGTTCAATGTTGTTTACACTACAGTTTCTCTTTCAAAGTAACTCTCAAGAATAACTTTTTTTTTTATTCATAAGTTCAAGGAACATAATTTTATTAATAGTTGTGCAAAGAAAAAACTGAGGTAGCTGTGGTTTGGTTACACCTACAAACTGGTTTACACAAATTAGTTTGAGAGCGGGAAAAAAGAAGTTGAATTCTATCAACAATCTAAATTAATTTCCCTCAAGATCTTAAGGGTAAAATAAAAAGTTATTTATTGCTTTTAAAAACAACCCATCCAACAAACATCAATCGTTTTTTAAAACAGCCCCCTAGCCCAATTAAGCATTTGCATTTCATTTTCGAAAGAAAAAGAATTTTTAGTCAGTATATAGTGACATTTTCCTTTAATGACTTGTGAGAATGGTATAAGTTTAACAGAAAATAAAGGATGGAATGCAAGAACCAAAGACGTGCCAATGTTATCAGGATGACAGACTCTGTTACAAACAAATGCTTTACTCACTCATTCATTCATTCAATATTTATTTATTGAGAGCTTACTATATGTATAAGACAAAAAAAAATTAAACAAAGTGATAACACTATGCACTTTCATTCTGTATAAAAACAACATGGTCAATAATAAATATATAAGACAAAATATTAATAATAAAGAAAAATAAATTGAATTTATTTTGGATGACTGCCGCAAAACACACCGGGTAAAAGACTCCTTACTTCTATTTCTGCAGATTCCACCCGGTTTTCAATTATTTCGATACATTGTCTCTTAGCTGGTGGTTCTTCACTTATTACAGTTTCTTCAGCAATGTCTGTTGCTGGTACTGTTAACACTAAAATGAAAAGGTGTACACATTACTTCGTTCTCTCAGATAGCTTTAGAATTAATAAACTAGTCTTGACACTGTTGATGCTACTCACCTAAGTATATTCCAAAACAATAATTTCAATATACTGATTTGCTTTTATGAAGAGTCTGTACTTGTCTTTTTTGCTTTCTTGTTTTTTTTTAACTGAAATCTACTTATTATTTACTTAAAAAAACTTTTATAGATAATTTATTAAACTCAAAACAATATTTAACCAGTTTATTTTGTGAGGTTTCATGCCCATCCCACTAACATAATCCCACCAATTACTTTCCTGTGTATTATTCCTATATTAATTTATATAAAAATAAACATGAAAATATATGGGTAGCATATATACAATGCCTACATTCAAACATATATATAATATGTTGTTCTACATTAACTTCTTTCACTCCCTACATTTACAGTATCTTACATTAATACACAGAGCTTCCTTTTTTCAGCTGCATAATATTTCATCATATGGATACACCATTATGAATACAGTTTATAAACTTTATTTTCCAATTGGATTTTGTCGACATTTCTTTGTAGCTCTTTATATAAATGTAAATATTAGAAAAAGCTGTCATTGCTTTACACAGCACTACAGGACCACACAAGTAAAAACCTTGCAAAACAATTTTATTGATGAATGGGGAAAATTACAGTTGCTTTATGATTTTTTCTAAATTTTTGTCAAAACATTAAAAATTCCCTTTCACTTATAAATGCAAACAGAAATTAGAAAATGGCAAAATTACTATTTGAGAACAATAAAATTTAGAACACTAGAAATACTGAGAAGAAAAGAATGTTCTTTCTATCATATTACATTTATGAATTCACTCATGATGAACTAAGAATTTGTATTTGTTTCACTGGACTGTCTATATACTCTACATATTCATGTTATCTATACATTTTTAAATTAGGGAGGCTTTAAATTTTTATTTAAATATTTAGTAAGGTCTTCTCAGTGTGCCCAGAGTTTTCCTTATTCTTCCTTCCCCCTCTCCCTGTCAACATAAATTTTAAAATTCATTTGCATAATTATAGGAGGAAATAACCTGTTGATCTTTGCTATGGGCTGAATTATGAACTCCTCTCCCAACTCCAATTCATGTTAAAGACCTAACCTCCAGGAACACTAAATGTGACTGTATTTGGAGATAAGGCCTTTAAAGAGATTGAAGTAAAATGAGAACTTATGGGTGGATCCTAGTCTAATATTATTGGTGTCCTCATTAGAAAAGAAAATTAGGCACATATAACACAAAAAAACTGAAGTCAATTAAGTGAAAAAATATAGCCAGAAGGCCATCTACAAGCCAAGGAAAGAGGCCTGAGAATAAACCAGACTGGACAACACTTTGATGCTGGATTTCTAGCTCCCAGAACTGAGAGAAAATAAATTTCTATTGTTTAAGTCACCCAGTCTGTTTTGTAACAGTCCTATCAAACTAACAGTCCATTTTTCATGACATATTACAACTATAAATTAACTCAGGAAGAATTGAAAGTTTTACGATAATGAGCCTTCACTTTGAAAAGCATGGATATTTCCCTTTATTTGTTCATCAATGGTTAGTCTGTAAATGTCAGATTTTGGAGACAATTTTATATCTGCTTTATACAAATACTTGGAAATTTTCTTCTTTTTGAAAAAATTAGTTCTTCAAAGCTTTTGTGGAAGCATCTGGGCTTAATCCAAACCTTGGACCAGCTGTCAACGGATGTCTACAGAGCGGGAGAGAAAAGCTCCCAAGCTTCATAGGTCAAGAGTTTCCTCTTTTTTGGCTATAGCAACAAATTTTTTTCTTGAAATCTGGTCTCTCTTTAGTGCCACAGCTCCTCTGTTAACTCAAAACAAAACCCAACTTAGAAGTTCTATCTCTAGCCTTGCCCTCCCACCAATTCCTTCACTGCCCATGAAGAGGCACTGTCTTTACAATTCTGGTCATTTCCTTAAAGGTTTTGTGTGTACATACTTCTTTGGCACTGAAGGGTATGCTTGATCAAATAGACTCTTTCTGCACCTTCTCTCTCTGACTCCTCAGTATTCATTCCTTATTCTAATTTAGCCATGTATGTACAGTCCCTATTCATGCTGAGGCTCTATTCTTATCGGAGTGTATATTTATTGGTGATTTCTGAGCTCAATCCTACTCTTTTCCTTGATAAACCATTGTGGGTTTTCATGTGGGTCCTCTTGTCCTGGCTGCAAGGGTCCTATATGTTTTGAACAATGAACAAAACTTAAAATGTGGGAATTTGAGGTTTTCTCAGCCTTTCAGTTTCACTAAAAATGCAGCTGAGGCTTTTGTTTCATCTATTTTGTTACTCTTTGTGGTTTTCAAGGAGAAAAAAGGGGAGGGGGGACTCACAATAAATTTTCTAAAAGTTGTCACTATATTCCTACTACAGGGACTTGTTTTTCAGTAGTTTTCCTTATGTGGTATTTTTAAAAGTTCACATGATATTCCAATTGTACAAAATGGCCTGCGAATTTATTGTCCAGTGCTGCTTTGAATTATTTTCTGTACTTCTGTGTTGATATTTAAGCCCATTTTCCAACCAGAATACTTTGGAGCCAATTTCTTTCCACCTGATGCATACTCTGAAAAAGTAAGTTAATTTTAATATTAACCTAAATAAATAAATACTAGGCAATCATATCTGTTATAATATATCACAATTTCCTGAAAATTAAAAATAAACACAAACTTTAAGTAAATGTCCACTACTAACCTTGCTGTCCATCTGGCATGGTCACAATGATGGGCTGACCTATTCCACTGGTTGGAATGGAGTGCAAATTTCCAAGCTGAATTCCATCTGTGACTATTGTGATGACTTGTTGACCCCCTGAACTAACTACTTGCTGAATTGCACCATCCACAGATTCTGCAGTAACCACTTCTTCTGTGGCCACTACTGGGGGAGAAAAAAAAAGTAAAGTAAAAATCAGTGAACATATCTAGCAGTATGAATAGATATTTAGTTTTGCTTCTTCTGCTACTTTTGCTTTCTCTGCTTCTTTCTTATGCAGGACAACTTTTACAGTTTTTAAACTCAATGTAAATGGCTGGATTACAAGTGCTGCAATTTAAAATAATAGTTTCTTTTCTTTTTATTTTTATTTTGAGATAGGCTCTCACTAAGTTGCCCAGGCAGGCTTCAAACTTGGGATTCTCCGGCTTCAGTCTCTGAGTTGCTGGGATTATAGGTATGCACTACTACACTTGGCTTTCAACTACCTTCATGAGTGCGTTTAAATAAACAGTTTCTCTTCTTTTCAAGGTACAAAATGTATAAAATCTTCTAAAATCATGACAAAGGTTCTATCTACTCAATAAAATTCCATAATTCAAATTGGTTATATTCCATTCATATTTACATATATGAGTTGATATACAAAATAAATAGTATTCCCTTTTTTGATTGAGTGAGCAAGGATTGCTTTGATAATAAGCAGCATACAGATCTGGTACTATATGATAGTGAACAAAACAGTATTGAAGATTAACATAAATAAAATCCCAAAATATGCTCTTAGTAATTTGAGAGGCTCAAAGGATTCTGGCAACTAAAAACAGCACTTCTGGCTCTGCTTGAGTAAAGAAATCACAAGTTAATACTGCCAAGATCCTTTTCTACAAGCAATCCTATATTCAACTACTGACCCCAAAAGACATGAAATGGGAAAATTCATAATTTTGGGGTTTTTTAGCTGTAGATGGACACAATATCTTCAATTTTTTTTTGTGGTTCTGTGAATCGAAACCAGTGCCTTGCACATGCTAGGCAAGCACTCTACCACTGAGCCACAACCCCATCCCTCATAGTAGCTTTTTTAAAATAGTAAAAACTAGAAATAATCTACATATTCATTGACAGTAAATAAACTGTGGTAGTCATATATTGGAATACTACATAATAACTAAAATGTCTATATGCAAAACATGGATGAATTTGATAAAAACAATACTGAGTTATGTAAAACAGGCATGAGACTAAATACACTGTCTGCCTTCTATTTAGGAATTGAGGAAGCATTATGCAGAAATGATTATTTTGTGATAATTCATCAAATTGGGCATTTATTGTCTATGGACTTTCCAATGTACATGTTAATTTCAATAAAGGAGCATCAAAAGAAATAATAATAGTGAATGGATTATTCATAATGAATTTTTAAAAATCTCTATATAATAATATTTTGTAGGGCTAGGATTGTGGCTCAGGGGTATGTGTAAGGCATTGGGTTCGATCCTCAGCACCACATAAAAAAAAAGGTATTGTGTCTACCTACACCTCAAATATAAATGTTAAAAAAATACATATATCTTGTAAAAAAAAAAAAAAGGAGGGGGGAGTCAAAGATCTTGACAGAAGATATCTATTGAAGAATGACAAATTTGAAAAAATCACTTTAATATAATAATTGATTCAAGCAAAGATCACTAGTGAGTGATAAAAGCACTAGTGAAATGTTTGGGGACAACAGGATATTTAAATATTCTCAAAGTATTTCACCAAAGACTAACATTGGTTGCAAAGGGGAAAGAGTACCTTTAAAGACCTGGCAGTTACCAAATGCCATTATCAAGTCCGCCTGACATTATGTACCTCATGATATGATGCAATAAAAGGTTACAAAATATCACTGTGTTCCTCTGAAAGTGTTTGACCTGCATCTATCTATTAAGAAACAAATCGGGAGGCTGGGGTTGTAGCTCAGTGGTAAAATGCTTGCCTAGCACATGTGAGGCACTGGATTTGATCCTCAGCACCATATAAAAATAAATGAATAAAATAAAGCACAGTGTCCATCTACAACTAAAAATATTTTTTAAAAAAAGAAACAAATAAACAAACAAACAAATGGGGGCCTGGGTAAGAAAGGAAAATAGGAAGTAATAGGATCGAACTCAGCACCTTGCAATGCAAGTGCTCTACCACTGAGCTACAACCTCGGCCCCTCTAAATAACATTTTAAAAACCTATTATTCAAGGCAACACTTACACCAAGAGCAATTAAATAAAAGCTTTCTCTACCCAAATCAAGCTACTGTCCAGATATAACATTTGCTCTTGAGTTGCTACCAACTCACAGCAGAACATCATGGATAAAAATGATTTTGGATTTATTTCAGAGAGAAAGACCACAAATATATGAATATATGGAATGCTTTTTTTTTTTTAGGCAAGATAAATGCCGGGATCCTAGTTTTCAAGAAGACAAACTTGTGGCAACAGACCTGGCTTCCACCTTGTCACAGCATTATTTGATAATCAAGAATCACAACACAAACCATAGAACACTCAAAATGCAAACAACCTTTGTTTTGAGTACTTTCATTATTTTTGTTTGCCTTAAACTATAATTAAATTTTATCACGAAGCACTTAAGGAAATTTCAGGAAGATAGTTACAAAATAAAATACAGGGCACTAAGTAAAAAAATATTCAATAGGACAACTATTAAGGCTTTCAAATGCATTAACTATTGCTTTGATTTTTTAAAAAAATATCCATATGAAAAAGAAATGTTCACTGGTTGAATACTAAATATAAGTAGTAATATTTTAAAGCATAATCATAAGAAATTTCTGAGATCACACGCAATCAAGATACAACTCAACTTTCATCATTGCACTATTTACAATGACTGTCATTAAAGTAAGAGTTCTTGTCTTTCATCTAAAAAGCTTTCTTTTCAAGTTGTACAATGGTAAGGTATTTAAGAAAAAAATTAAAAGGAAACTAATTATGGAAGAAGAAAAAGCACCCTCCCCCAACCTTAAGAATAACTCAACAATAAAATGTTGAAACATTTAAGAATAAAAGAGAAAGCCTAAAAATTCTAAAAAGGATTTTATATAATAATATGTATGTGCACATATATATATTTTTCCAAAATATAAAAACCTTGGATAAAAAGTAACTGCTATTTCATAAATATTGGTTGATCTAATTCTGAAGTCAAGCTCTAATATTTAAAAAGAGCTAGATAATCTACAGCAACTTTGAAAATAGTTGGGATCTCTTATTCAACATGACTTTTGAATTATAATGCCATAAAACTAAAATAAGGCAGGGAAGAAAATTATCTTTGAAAAAGACTGAAAAGTCTATCTGTAATATTTAAACAATAAAATAAAAACTTCATTGAAGAAAAAATAACATTCAAAGATATTATTCTTGCAATCAAACCTGAAATTAAAAACAAAAAATACCTCATGAGGCCCAGGTACTAATGCCTCTAAAGTCAATTCAGTTTTATTACCCTATGTTAGGAACAGACCAAAAACCAATATGTTAACAGGTAGGTACCTGTTAAACTACACCATTAGGGAGAAAGGAAGGAACTTAACAGCCGCTACCTGACATATTACAACACCTTTGAAATACCATCTTACAAGCAATTAGCAGAAGTTGCTCTGAAGACAAAAAGAAGAGTGATCATAGATTTCTATTTAATCTAGGAATGATAAGGACTGCTAGAAGTATAAAACAGGGGTTTCATGAAATGGTATTTTAAAAGAACCTGATATTTACATGGCAAAGATAAAACCTACCTTCCTCCTCCCAGTCCTTAGTAGTGGAGATGGAACCCAGGGGGTGCTTTATCATGGAGCTACTTCTCCAGCCTTTTTTAAAATTTTGAGACAGGATAGTCTCGAGTCACTGAGATTACAGGCACACACTACCACATCCTGCAAGACCTACATCTTAGGCAACAGCTTCTAATTCTACACCTAAATAACTCTCAAATCTATCCACTTCTTACTATCTCCTTGTCAAATCCTCACTCATGCTGCCATTATATGTTGTTCCTAATTGATTGCATTAGATTCCTAACTAAACGCCCTTCCAGAGTCTTCTATGCCTGCCAAAATGATCACTTTTAAAGTTCTCTATAATCTTACTTTCAACCCCTATGTTATTCTCCCTCTCACTGGGTTCAGTTGTATTGGACTCTGGGTCTCCTTGAAAATATAAGCTCTTTCTGTCTCAAAAATTTCACATGTCTCTCCTCCTGATATGTTCTTCCCTCAACTTTTCCCTAATTTCTACTTAATCCTTTAGGAAGACTCCATGACTCACCAGAATAGCCTGTAACCTATGGCAAAAAGACAAGAAAATGTGATTGCCTCTGTTTATGAAGACTGAACTCCATTTTCCTAAAGGAAAAATGTGCCTGCAATCTCCAAGACAGCTTTTATTCTTCTGTCTCTTCATTTTAGGAATGGTTTTCAAAATGAAATAACTTCCAAAGTAGTATGGCTTGGAATGTGTTCCTATCCATTCTTTGGGCCAGCAACTCAAACACCCACCCCTCTACAAACTCTTCCCAACTCCAGCTGTTCCCTCTGAACAACAGTAATCCAGTGAGATATTCCAATCACCAAGCCTTGACAAACTGCAATTCTATTTATTTATAAAATCAAGAAGATAGCACCATCATTTAGTTGTGCAACAAAAGTATTTTAATAGACTTCATGAGATTCTCACTGGACTAACATTAAAACTTGTTTTATATGCCAAAAATGGTTCTACTGTAGTCATGAAAGTGTAAGACTTACACACACATATGAAGTAACAACTAGTGTAAACATAGTTCTTATACTATATTTGGTCCACAATCATTTTTAAAAGGCATGACAGGAACAGAACACGTAATTCAATAAACTATTACCAGAAAAAGTTACAGATACATCTTTGAAGTAAAAGTAGGAATAGTGATAATTTTTGCTTGATATGAGACAAAATGATAACCACAGAAGTACTTATTTCTATTGCAAACATTCCAAAAGAGACCAGTCCACAGATCACCCAAAAAAACGTATAAGAAAGAGAATACTGACAGCCAGGCAGGGTGTTGCATGCCTGTAATCCTAGTGATTTGGGAGGCTAAGGCAGAAGGATCATGAGTATCAAACCCAGCCTCAGCAATTGAGGGAGGTCCTAAGCAACTCAACTAGACCCTGTCTCTAATAAAATATAAATATAAAAAAGGGCTGGGGATGTGGCTCAGTGGTTAAGCACACATGCATTTAATCCCTGGTACCAAAAAGAAGGAAAAAATAAATAAACTATATAGTGGTCAAAGACACATAACTTGTGAACTTGTCAGACTTTGACCACAAGCCTCTGTTCATTACTTAGTAGCCACATGACCTTAGGAAAAACTATTCAACCTTCACAAATCTGTTTCATCATATGTAAAATGAAGACACTTCTAATACATTTTGCAGATCCCAAGATGCTCTTGAAAAATACATATTTCTAAAATCAAAATGAATGTAATGATTGTTGGGTAAAGAAACCAAAGAGCCAAAATGAAAAAAAAAATAATAATTTGTGGCAGATTTATCACTGCCTGAGCAGGAACCAACTTAGTAAGAAGATATATACTTCAGCGGAATTGTGACATAAGTATTGGTGGCAATATACTTAACTGAACTTTTACTTAATTCAAGCTCTTAAAAATCTCTTCAAAGGGATTCTATTATGATATAACATTGAAAAGAAAAGTTATTATGCTCATAGAAGATTGTAAAGTCACATGCAATAAAAGTCAACTGAAATTCTGTCAGACTAGACCATAAAAATTTTCAAAGATAGGAGAAGTTAAAAAGGTTAGTATAACCAATTTAAGGAGCTAGAAATCTAAATGTCAGAACTTCTAGCTGAGTTTTAAGAAAAGCTATTGAATTTCAGGTATATGCTTTTTTTTTTTTTTTTTTTTTTTTTTACTAAGTATTGAACCCAGGGGTGCTCAACCACTGAGCCACATATATCCCCAGCATTTTTTGTTTTGAGGTTTTTTTTTTTTTTGGTACCAGAGCTGAATCTCAGAGGTACTCAAGCCCTAAGCTATAGCCCCAGCCCTATTTTGTATTTTATTTAGAGACAGGGTCTCGCTGAATTGCTAAGTGCCTCTCTGAGTTGCCGAGGTTGGCTTTGAACTTGTGACCTTCTGTCTCAGTCTCCCAAGCCACCAGGATTACAGGCATGCGCCATCACACCTGGCAAGGTAGATGCATTTTAATTAACAATATTTTCAAGTTTAACCAAAAAGAAACTACCAATAAAATGGTTTTTTCTTTTTTTTCTTTCTTCTCTGAGGTGCTAGAGATTGAACCCAATGCCTCACACATGTTGACCTTTGTGCCTCGTTCAGAAATCAACTTTCTTTGACAGTTTCTGTACTTACAAAGGTGCTAAAAAGAGCCAGACATACATTCATTATAAAAGCAATATGCAAACATGATGATGCATGTAACTGTTAATGGCCAAAAATAATTCAGAAAAATCTAGACTCCCAAATAAAAAGACTTAGATTCAAACTTTATGTGATGTAAGAAGCTGGAGAATTACTAATTAGTTGAAAAAAGAAAGGAAAAAAAGAAAAAGGTAGGAATTATTTTTCTTCCAAGTTAAAAAAAAATCCAATATTATTTACCTTAAAGCTTTTCAGTGAGGATCCAGTGAAATCATAGGTAAAAAATTTACAGTGGTGCCCTTGCACACGGTAAGCAGTCAATGACTTGCTACTGTTATTATTAAACTTTTAAAAAACACTAATTTAAAAAATGACAATAAATTATTCTTTACTTTTATAAATATTAATCCAGTAGATAAGAAGACTATTTCTTGGAGTTTTAAAATTTTCCTAGTTAAAAATAACTTACACAATAATTACAGTAAGAAATATTTTAAGTAAGTATGAGGCAAACCTTATCTGAACCAGCTATTCACCAACACTGCACGTCTTCATTTAACAGGAAACCCTTTAATAGTAATTTTTATACACTATCTCATAGTTCTGTCAGACATTAAGATCTTTGTAGCATTCTAAAAGAACTGAAAAAAATTAAGTATATGAAAAAATAGTAAGTTCATATACATTTATCTACTTAAACAAAAAGTCACCAATTGATAAAACAAAGGCCAACTTGGGTAAATAGACATGCTTTCTGTTAAGCATACAAGTTTGTTTTTTAATTTTAATTAGTTGTCAAAATTTAATATTCTTTTGAAGCTCACATTTTCAGCTTCCCATGAAAAAACAGAATCTGGAAACATAGAAGACATGTCTATAATCAGCTAGAGCTGAGTAGTACATGCCCCTGCCCGGCCCCACTTTTTAACTGGGCATAATCTCAACCCTGCCTAGTTTTGTCTTTCATGTTACCATCCCAGCCTTTGTAAGTATTTGAATCTGCACCTTTTACTGTACATATCTGGCTTGCTTTTCTAACCTGGAGTTTCTGATGAATTGGATAACGGAGCAGAGGCTTCAGCTAAGGCAGCTAACGTAGCTAATACTGATGTAGAGGAGTTTCCAAACTGAACAGCAGACACACCCGTTTCATCTATGAGAAAACAGAAAATAGATTTGAATTTTTAAGGAATTTAAACCAATGTATATTTCTCATATTGTTTTATTTTATTCAACTCTTAAATTATGCTTGGAGGCATTAGTTTTTGAAAGGTAATATTATAGTACATTTTGTAATATTACCTTTCGTTAGATTGTTCTGTTTCAGAAAAATGTTTATGGCTAATACCAAAGAAACCAAGATGACTGATATAATCTTACCCTTATTCTTCAACAGTCCTTGCTTAAAAGGATGGATACCTACTAATGCATAAAATCCCAACAGCTATCCTATATGCATCTCAATACCTGTTGCCTTGGATGAATTTTCTGAAGATACCAGACCTGTTAGGTTCACCACCCCTCCAGGTCCAATGATAAACTGTGGTGTTGCAGCATGTATCGTCACAGTGTCAGGACTCTCTGGGTTTGTGTTGATTTGGTTCTGCATAGCAATCTAGGGAAAAAAAATCACCACAGTGCTTTCAGAATTATAGTCAGAATATTTGGTACAGATTCTCAATGTAATACAAATATGATTTTATAGGCGCATTCTCTAAGAAGAAACATAATACAAATGGAAATGGTTTGATCATGGAACACTGAGAGTGTAGTATTAAAACATAGATATGAATTTATATATTTTAATCCCCTGTTGAGTAAAGCAGAACAATTCTATTAGAGAAGAAATGGGTATCTGAAAGCTTTTATACAGCACAGGAAAACAGGAGATTGAAAGATATCCTGTTACTCTATAGGTGTGGAAATAAGAATTATTCAAATTGTTCCCAATCTTCAACTCTTAGATACAAATGAATGAAAAAGGCATGGTAAAATTTATTTTCCATGAACATAAAACAGCTTTTAAGTAAATGAAGTCAGAGATGACAGTTCCACTGGGAGGAACAAGAAGATAGACAAGAAGAGGCAGTAAACAAAGAAAATATTATATCAATGTTGTCTAGCTGAAGAAAAAAGAAGTCATGTTGGTTACTAGAAAAGCCAAATATACCCAACCCATGTCCACAAACAATTTTTTTTTAAAGAGAGAGTGAGAGAGAGAGAGAGAGAGAGAATTTTTTTAATATTTAGTTTTTAGTTTTCTGCGGACACAACATCTTTGTTTGTATGTGGTGCTGAGGATCGAACCCGGGCTGCACACATGCCAGACGAGCGCGCTACCGCTTGAGCCACATGCCCAGCCCCACAAACAATTTTTTTTGAGGACAGTGAAAATAAAAGAAACAAATCTGAATGATAAAGACAGCATCACTTACTCAAAGGATGTCATTACGGTTGCTATTTATTTTTTAATTTTTATAAAGTAATTTAAAACAGACTTTGAAAATCCATTTGGTTTTTTCAGCAAGAATAATTAATAAAATAAGCTACCTAGACGGTAATTCAGAAACTTGAAAACACAGGAAAATAATCACCTTATTTAATCTTCTATTACATAAAAAGACTGTAAGGTCTTACCATCAGGAAAATGAATAGTATTCAACTAAGAGGAAATGAAAGAAAAAAGACTGTCCAAAATAACGAAGTCCAAAATAAAAAGCTACAAGCTTTAAATAATCTACAACATAGAGATCCATCTACCTAAACAGCTTCCTTTTGTTTGCTTTCTTAAAATTAAAATCCAAGTTACCTGTAATATTTCTGCTAAATCTTCATTTCCATTGTCTATTGAAATATCAAATGCAGTTTTACAAAATTTACTTTGCGTGTGTACATCAGCACCATATTTGATTAAAAGTTCCACCACCTCTTGATGATTGTGTTCTGTGGCCCAATGCAGAGCTGTCATCTTTAACATGTCCTTTGCATTAACGTCAGCACCATGCTACAAAAAATATTTCAAAATGAGAGATTGCTAAAACATGGAAAACAAAAATTCCTGACATGATAATACTAGTCACTATGCTTTGAAGCAAGAACAAATACCATAGTTGATTTTCTGTGTTAAACATGCTTTCTAGCAATTACCCTTTATCTGTCCCTTTATCATTCTTCTTTCATGCTGATATTCCTACTATTTTTCTTCTTATTTCTTGAAATGAGGCAATTATTCTTTTAGTTACTCAACTACAGGCATGAAGGAACAGGAATGGCATAAGAAGTGAAGGAAAACTATGAGCACTTCTCCAAACTCTTTTTAATGTTGTATTAGAATTGATCCTCTAGTTCCTCATTTACACAAAATCACCCTTTGCTTTCAAAACCAGCACAACGTACAAGCAATTAGAAGGGAGCTATCTAGATGTACACTATCCAGTATAATCACCAGTAGACACAGGTGGTTATAATATAGCTTATCAGAATAGAGATATGCTATATGTGTAAAATAAGCACTGGAATTCAAAGACTTAGTACTAAAGAAACAGAATGTAAATTATCTCAATAATTTTCAGATCAGTTCATGTTGAAATTATAATGTTTTGAATATTTTGGACCAAAAATAATATTCATTTTTACTTTTTGAACGTAGGTACAAGTATATCTAGAATTACATGTGATTTGCATACATGGCTTACGTTGTATTTCTTTTGGATAGGTTCATCTAAAGACCAGAATAAAAAGGATCAAGAATAAGGACTATTGCCAGGTGTGATGGCGCATGCCTAGAATCCCATTGGCTTCTTGGGAGGCTGAGGCAGGAGGATTGCAAGTTCAAAGCCTGACTCAGCAATGAGGAGGCACTTAGCAACTCAGTGAGACCCTGTCTCTAAATAAAATACAAAATAGGACTGGGGCTGTGATTTCATGGTCAAGTGCCCCTGAGTTCAATCCCTGATACGCATCCCACGTAAAAAAGAATAATGTTGCAAAATTTTCTACAACACATTTTTGCATCTAGATAATTAAAGGTAAATCCCCATTTATATTACCTATCAATTTGTTAATCATCCAAGCCTACTGTTCCCTTCCATAGGCATTTGGACTATATTGACAAACTTGTTGTTGTCCCTTACCCTAAGGACTTTCAATTGTTTGACTTAACTAAGAATATACCTAGAGAAAGTTTTCCCCTCACAAAAGAAAAATTTAATTTTCATTTGATGGGCTTATACACCAGAGAGAGAGAGAGAGAGAGAGAGAGAGAGAGAGAGAGAGAGAAAGAGGGAATCACCACAGGTAAAACACTAAGTAGGCATTCGATAAAATTAGCTCTCTCCTTCTTCTTATAAACCCATAAGAAGTTTCAATAGCAAAGACCAAAAAAAGAAGACATACCTTAAGCAAAACCTCTACTATGCTGGCATGGCCCTCAGAAGCTGCCATGTGTAATGGTGTTCGGTCCACTTTGGTTCTGGCATCCCTACTTACACCAGCTCGCAGTAGTACCTCTGTGGTGGAATAATGCCCATATTGTGCTGCCAGATGAAGTGGAGATGTTCCCAGCTGTACCACAGGAGAGAAAAAAAATCCAAATTTATGATTACTTTTGCTACACATGGTGGCACATGCCTGTAATCCCAGCTACACCAGAGGCTAGGCCACGAGGATCCCAAATTCAAGTTCACGCTGGAAAACTCAGTGAGATTCTGTCTCAAAATAAAAAATAAAAAGGGCTGGGGATGTAGCTCAGCAGTACTGTCCCTAGGTTCAATCCCTAGTACCACAAAAAAATAAAAATAAAAAATATATAATTACTTTTAATATATCACTATAATTTATATGCTATATTTTCTATTTATATAGTAATGAGTTAATATCTGTATATATGGTAATCCAAAATGAATTACTAGATTTAAGCTTATCATATCTTCATGGAGGTCTTATCAGGGAGGAAGAAAAGTCAAGCATTTCCTTTAATTCAAAATTTCTGTAAATAACAACCTAAATAAAATTAACTTCATTAAGAATTAGAGATAATTAAAGTTTGAGAATTTTTCTGAATATTAGAATATTTTTTATACCAGTCATACAAAACTTGCTATAATAACTTCTTTTCATCTATAAAATTAATCTCAAATAAATTTAATAGTGTAGAATTTAGGTCAAAACTTTTTGCAGAGTTTTAAAAAATATACATAAACAAGACTATCTCAATGATCTTTTCTAAGGGGTTCATGTAGTCTTTTCTCAAAGGAAAAATCTGAAGTGCATTTGTCAAAGTTAAGTCCAGAGAGACCCAAACAGAGCTCAGTTCTGAAATTGGATCCACAGTATCTAGCCATTAAACTGATATCCACAAAGTACAAAGGAAATTTTAAAATATGAGAAAAATTTAGAAATGTTGTATCACATGCATTTAAAAGCACAGAAAATCCCTACAACTCTTGATTATCAAAACACTGATGTTCTAAGGAGCTCATATATTTCACTAGAACATGAAATTTGCTCAGATTACCACTGTAATAAAAGCACCTAAAATTTTTAATCACTTTCTATTGAACACATTGTTCTAAGAACTTCACATACTAATCTCATTTAATCTCTTCATAGCATAAATAACTATTTCTATCCTCATTTAGCAGTAAAAGAACCTAAGGCACAAAGAGGTTACTAATTTGCCTGAAGTCATACAACAAATAATCACAATACAAAGTTAGGTATGTGCTCTCAATATGTGATAAAAATTGAAATTATTTACCATGGGAATAATTTTTTTATTACTACAAAACACACATTTTTAAATGGAAAAATCATTCTAGTAGAACAAAGGAAATTTCTGAACAATCCTTTCTTTCTCCATGCTTTGTCATATTTTCCTAAAACAAACTCTTTTCTAAATTCTTTAAGTACTTCAACAATCCATTGAGGAACTATGGCTCTTTCTTAGTGTGATATTAAGGCTTACTTTGTATTTTTTGTTTTATTCCTGAGCATTTCCCCTTTTGGTTGATGATGAAATACACACACACACACACACACACACACACACACACACACACACACACATATATCTGTGTATGCACACATACATACATGTAGTTGAAAAAAAGGCAGACATCTGTGAAGTCAACACCACAATCCAGAAGTAAAATACTGACAATAATTTAAAATCTTCCCACACAACAATCTCTAATCACAAAGACAAGAGATAAATAATACTCAAAACTTTGTGACAAACATTGCTTTTCTGTGTACCATTTATGCATTCTTAAATAATATATTTTGGTTTTGCCCATTTTGAATTTTTTTTAAACAGAATCATACTATATGTATTTTCTGTCACTTGTTTTCCTTTGCTTAATATTATGTTCATTAATGAGTACAAAGATAGTTCACTAACTCTCTATGATATCCTACTTAGTGAGTAATTTGCAATTAATTTAAACAATATACTGATGAATATTTGTATCATTTCCATTTTTGTTACTATGGATTACAATGCTGCTTAATGTACTCTTATGTGTATCTCAGAAATATGAATAAGATTTTCTTCTATTGGAAATATTCTTAGAAATTCAACTGATAGGTCACAGGGGTATGCACATGCTCAAATTTATTCAGTACTGCAAAACTTCCTCCAAAACAATTCTACCAATTCAAACTTCCACCAGAAGTATCAGAGAGTTCTCAATTCAACATCTCTTCACCAAGGCTTTGTACTGCCAGGCAATCTTTGCTAATCCAGTACAGAAGTATTTCTTAATTTTACTTTTATTTGCCCAATTATTAATGTAGTTGATCATCCTTTCATGTTTATTGGTCAATCCCTCTCTTGGGAAAGTATCACAGTGAGTCATTTGTCTATTTTCTATTTCCTTGTCTGTCTTTTTATTACTGACCCACAGGAATACCTTATGTACTATGGATACTAATCCTTCTTATAACCTTTTTGTCTTGATGTACTATAGCATCACTAAGATTTATTTTTAATTGTTGTTGTTGTAAGAAAAAAAAAATGTTTTATTGCTTTGCAAGCAAAGGGGAAACACAGGGAACTCCTTGTCTCAGAGCCTGCAATTCTGCCCATTATAGGGAACAGGAGGATTTTAAAGAGGTGATTCAGATAAATGAGATAAGGGAGAATAGATCAGGAAGGAGAAGATCAGAGAGGACAAGGTTAGGGAAAAGAAGATCAGGGAGAAAGTCAGGGAAAAGAAGGTTGGGAAAAAGAAATGAGCTTTTAAAGTGACAAGGGATATACTCAAATCATCAATTGAACCCGTTACATTTCTCCACTGTCAATTTCTAGCCTTTGGAAAGAGGGTGATGATATCTCCAAGCTCCTTCCTGCTGAAAGCGGGCAATGAATGGGGATCTTTAGAATGGAGACTTTTTATTTGTTGCCATTCTATCTTATAGGTTTTTATTGCATAGTTGCAAAGGTGGAACAGCAACAGAGCAGTAAAGGGCAATGATGAACAGGGTAGTCAGAATGAGGCAGAGTAGACCTAGTAAAATAGACTTAGTATCTTTTGGTATCCAAGAGAAAAAGCTAGAGAACCAGTCAGTTAGGCCTGTCCCCATCCCATCCATAAGGGAAGTGTGGTGGTCAAGGATCTGTTGTAGCCAGGTTGCTCACTGCCTGATCTTTTCAATACTGGTCCCCACCTGTGAGGAGGTGTTAACATAAATGCAGCAAGACATATTAACTATAGCACCACTCCTCCTTGCTTGGCTAACAGTCTAATGCCATAGGGTTATCTAGAATTACCTTAGCCAAGGAGTCCAGATAAGTCTATAAATTTAGATGGACAAGGTATCTCATTGGCCAAAATGATCAAAGTTTTTAACAGATTTCAGAGGACACAATGGTGTGCCCCAATCCTCCATGAAGATAACAAGGTGTAACCAATAAGTATTCATCACTATCAGGAATTCCAGCAAGGAGGTCCCAGGCCAGTTGAGTAAAGAACTTTAGGGAACTTCCCCAGTGAGCTCATTTCTTCAAGGAATGAATTTAAAATGGTGTCACTAAATTGCCTAGAAAATATTGGGTGGGAGATGTGAAGTTTCTGAGGCATTTGTTAGTCCAAATTTTACAGATGAACACATGTCCCATGTTCTCCCTGATCTTTTCCTCAACCTTCTCCTCCCTGATCTTCTTTTCCCTAACCTTCTCATCCCTGATCTTCTCCTTCCTGACTTATCCTCCCTAATCTCATTTCTCTGAATCACCTAGTTAATTTTACAGATGAACACATGTCCTGCAGGGGACTATAATGTTTTTATATATGGATTTATTTTTTTACAAAAAATAATCCTGCTGAAGATTTGTTGGGCTACTCAAATCTCTGGGTTATATGAGTTCAAGTGCAAACACATTTAAGGAATGGCTTGTGGTTCCAAATTTTCATCAACAAAATTTTCCTTTTCTCTATTAGTCCCTTGGGTCAAGTCAGGTCATTTTCTTTGTAGCACCCTATCACATGAAAAGGTGAGGGTATTTCTGATTTACCTTTACAGGCTGAAGATGCAGCTTGTTAGGATTACAGAATTATGGAGAGAGGGATTTCCTATCAGATCTCTCTCTCCATGAGCAGCCCCAGCCCTTTGTCTTCAGTACCCCATACTAGTGAAGTGAAAAACCAATAATAGGTCTACATTCAGCAAATGTTCCTAGAGGAAAATTTCTCTTGAGTTCCAGCCTTCACTTAGTTCTTCAGGTTGACAATTCCTTTCTTTCTAATTTAGCAGCACATTTAAGATTTTCTTGAAAATAGCTAATGAAAGAATCTTTATCTCTTAAAGACAGACACTGAAATATTTGTGGAAGAAATTATATGGATTTTGGAATTTGCTTCAAAATAACACAAAACAAAAGAAGTGGATGCAATTATAAAGGAAACAAGATCCATGATGATTTAATATTTTTTAAGTGAGATAAAGGCTATGCAGGGATTGAAATTTATGCCTGAAATTTTCCAGAATAAAAAAAAAATTACATGGAAAAAAAGGGGGGATAAGTAAAAAAGGGGAAAAAAATCAAAATCTGGACTTTATAATTGTTAACAGAGGATTAATCCAGATTTCAAGTCCTCTATATTCCCAAGACCATGCCTTTTGATTTATCCCTGGAATTGAACAGTTTGGGGGAATTTGGGTTTTGTTTTTTTAGTGTTTCTTTTCTTTTTTTTTTTTTAACCTTCCCACAATCGCCTTCTATAGTGATCTAAAGTGATCAAATTCCTTTCTTCCCCTTAGGTCATGTTTATAATAGGTTGTACAATTATCAACTGAAATACAAACTTTTTTTTTCTTTTTTAGAAGTTACATTTCCTATCTTTATCTGTTATGTTCTGGATTATAATTTTACCTATGTTATTTAAAAGACCTTTAATTTAAATCCTAAGCAGATACATATTATATTAATCCCATATTAGTGAACTTCAAAGCCTAAAAGAAAAATTTTGGTGATAGAATACTCACATAAAATTGTCCAGTATCAAAGACAATTATATGAACCATTTATTTTAAAAGTTAGTTATAATTCTAAAAAATAAAAACAAATTTCAAAAAAATCGTTTTTTTAACCATTTAAAAGTACTGACAAATTTTTTATCTGGAAAAAGTCAAAAATGAGAAGCAGAAGAAGAAGAAACCACAACATTAAAGTTATTCTTTACCCAGTCTGTAGTAAAAGGAGCTCCATTTGCCATCAAAATACGAACTTCATCATCTTGACCTGCTCGTGCCGCTTCTAAAAGCTTCTTTCCCAAATCTACCAGGGACATCTAAACAAAACATAGATGAACTGAACATCAAAATCTATATTTATATATGACATGATTTTTCCCCTCTTGTCTTTATTATTAAGTCCACTTTCAATTATCCCTTCAAAAGGTTACAGTATGGTTAATTTAATCTACAGCTGGAGATCACACAAAAGCAATTTATATTTGGATGTTAGGAATATATTTTCCTTTCTCATTAAGTGTTTACCTAGAATAAAATGAAGTTTGAATTCTTCAAATATAGCTGGTAAAAGTAAGTTATCAGAGAAAAGATAGTCTAAAATTTAAAATTAGCAACTAACTCTTTTCACTGGAGAAGGTGTAGTAATAAAATTCTTCATAAAAATAAAGTATAAGACACTGTGTTCTATTACTGGTGCAAATTTTGTTTTCTTTATATTGGGGATTAAACTCAGTGTTTTACCACTGAGCCACATCCTTACTGGTGCATATTAAACTGAATCTACTACATTTTTGCAATAGTGAATGTATTAAAATTTTATTTAATTATTTACTTACTTATCTGCTGAACTGGAGATTGAAACCAGGGATATTCTACCATTAACATACAATCCCCAATCCTTTATATTTTTAGACAGGGTTTCACGGAGATGTCGAGGTTGGCCTAGAACTTGCAATTCTCCTGCCTTGGTCTCCTGAGTAGCTGGGATTATAGGTGTGTGCTACAGTACCTAGTTTGGAATTTTAAAATAAATATTTTCTGCCCTTTAACATGCAATGAACATTTACATTCTTCCAGAAAAGGGCACAATTCGTGTTCCATTAAAATACTATTAAAAAAAAAAAAAGTCTAACCGTATTATGAGTAAACCATGTGTCTCAGTAGGAAACCAGAAAGAATAATTTGTGTCTTGAATTTAAGAGATCTGACAGAGTAATGTCCCAGCCTAGAGTGTGCTATGTGTATGTGGTATCTTCTTGAATAAAAAATATTTAAATATACGTAAGAAAAAGATCATGACAGGAGTATTTAAGTAAAGAAAGATTTGAATATCAGAGACACTTAAGATTCATGAGAAGATAGTTCTTAAGAAAAGAAAGTTTCCAGACCCAGAAAGACTATTCAGCTAGAGAACTACCCAATGATATTAAATAACATCCAAAAAATAAATAAATAAATAAAACAGGTAGTTTAGGCCAGAGGGGAAGGGGCAATATGAAACCTATGATTTATATAAGAAAAATGTGTGTGGGATATGAACTTGTCTCAAAAAACAATAATATACTCTATGAGGGTTAGGTAAGTGGTCAAGGGAAAATAAGTTGTAAGGAAGGAATGACAGGTTGATTAGTGTATCCTAATCTTACGACAATAGCTATTACTCTAGAAGGGGGAAAAAAAGGGTGTGTGTGTGTGTACACACGTGCATGAAAGAGAGAAACTGGCAGAGTTTGGAAGATTATTTGTGCCATGAAGGAATAAAATGTACTACATAATTAAAAAGGATTTAAGAAAATCTAAAATGAATAATTATATAAAAAGATGTCCCTAAAAGTATAAAGAATTATGCTATGCCAATGTTGTATTTTTTTTTTTTTGGTTGATTCTATGAAATGAGAACAACCAAGCAGAGGAATAACCAGGAGTAGCCACTAACATTAGAAAACTTGCACAATAACTAAGTGAGATGTACATCCAAAACAGGTTTAGCAGTTACAGGGCATGAGAGAATTTCTTAGAATAGTTCTCTTTGATACAATAAAAATAATTCCCATGGGGCTGGGCTTATGGCTCAGTGGTACAGCACTAGCCTCCCACTTGTGAGGTCCTGGGTTTGATCCTCAGCACCACATAAAAATAAATAAATAAAATAAGGTATTGTGTCCAACTGCCACTAAAAAATAAATATTTTAAAAAAATAATTCACATTATATCCTATGGTGAGGAATAAGAAAAATAACACATGTATTTAAGTTTTATGTGGAGTTTTCTAATGTGCTTTTTTGGTGACACCTGCAGCATTTTCACCTTCAAATTGATCTCTCATGAAGGCTTTTTTCTAAAGAATATTTTGTGACTTGATAGTAAAAATTAACATTCGGGGCTGGGGCTGTGCCTCAGCGCTATGTAGAACACTCACCAAGCACTAGAGCACTCACCTAACAAGTGTGAGGCCCTGGGTTCGATCCTTAGCACCACATAAAATAAATTAAAAAATAAAGATATTATGTCCAACTACAACTAAAAAATAAATATTTTTTAAAAATTAACAAATTCAAAAGGCAAAGAATCTGCAACAATACCTATTAAAGATAGCATAAGGACAAAGGAAAAATAAAAACTGACTTCTCTCCTATATTAAATATAGTAAAATGTAAATTTGCCACATTAACACACACTCCATATTTTAGATAAGCAAAATTTCATCTAAATCTGGCTCTACAGTGAAATACATCTTTCAAAATGTTTTTAAATATGTTTTGCACAAGTAGTATCAAACCAGCTTGCATTCTTTCACCATAGGTAGTGCCAGATGGTTTAGATGGATATCTTTTATAAAGTGCTAGTTTAGGGCTTTTCTTCATTTCTGAATTAGATTATATTCCTTTCTCTGATATTTGTAAACATTCTTATTTACATTCTAGATATTAGGTCTTTTGTCAGATACAAAATTATGAATATCTCATTCCCGAATCCTGATTTTTTTGACTGTCAATCCCATGTTTTTTCTTTAATATCACATATTATCCTCTATGGGTAAATAACTGTTACGTTTCATAAAAATGTGGAACTTCTAGATATTAAAAAAATTGAAAATAAAATAATCAAAGATGGAAAAAGAATAAATGTTTACCACAAAAATTACTGAAAGAAAATTAAAGTTTTCATTATTTAAAAGGTCTAACCCAAAATTCAAAAAAGGAAAAAATGAATAGCAAGAACTTCACACATTAATAGTCAAAAGACATGACCATATATTTTGCAAAAGAGAAAACAGTTTATAAGCAAAATATTCTATGTCATTGATAGTCAATAAATGTAAATAATTTTAAAGGAATTTCTAATACAATCAAGGATAGGTGAAACTGATACTTTCATACAATCGACATCTCATGTATTCTGATAGCAATATAAATGGATCAGCTTTACTTAAGTCAGTTTGGTAAATTTAACAAAAATTACAAGAAAGTTCAAGTCTATGGGTCCAATAGATTATTTCACCTCTGAAAATCTATTCTAAAGGAAAAACATAAACTCAAACAGATCAATAAAAATTACATATGTATATATACATGTAACAATCATTTTTATAACAAACAAATTAAAGATCGGAAAATATTTAAATTGTAGAATCTAATAGAACAAGATACAGTAATTTAACTGATTGCAAAGCAATATAATAACAAAAACTTGTGTCATGTTAAGGGAATAGATATAAAACTAATGTTTTTATTTAAGAAAGTTGAAATGTACACATAAAGAAAAAATATTGAGGGGCTGGGGTTGTAGCTCAGTGGTAGAGCACTTGCCTAGCATGTGTGAGGCCTTCAGTTCGAGTCTCAGAACCACATATAAATAAAATAAAGGTACATTTACAACTAAAATAAATATATATTTTTAAAAAAGAAAAAATATTGAAAAATATTAAGTATTAGGATGGTATGATTATGGGAAATTTTCCCTTCACTTTACAAAGTTTCTTTAATGTTGTTATACTACCTTCCCAAATGAAAAAGTGTCTTTTGTTAAAGGAACAAATTACATTACATGACTCCAACTAAGTAAATGATGATATTAAGTTATATACTCCTACCTTACTGGACAAGAAGAGCAGAAAAATAAAGAAATTGAAGAATTTTGAAGACTGAAAATAGCAAAATTATTGACTTGCTTATAGCATTGCAATAAGAAGATAAAGCATACAAGCAAATCAATTTCTGTAATTTTTTAAGTGTCTTAACTATTCAAATCATACCATATTTAAGGACCAAGGACACTTAAAAGTTACTCTGATTTTAAAACTCCATGAGCAATATAAATACATATACAGCTATAGTAGATTAATGTAGCTGGATATTTAGAAATCAGTAGTTCTCAAAGGTAGTAGCAAAAGCCCCATTTGTATATTTATGAAGTCATTTGGGGGATTACTGGGGGAACTAGCAGCATTTAAAGACATGTGTAAGGGATAGTAGATGTCCAGCAATGTTATATACTCATTGCAAAGAACTATCATGAATCCTGCATGATTTTCAGTTTCCACTGAATATATCTAAAACTGGAACCTAACTAAATTTTACATGTATACAAAATGTGTTTTTTCACAGTGTTAATATATCCTGCATTTTCCAAAATGCAACCATATCATGAATTCATGTGTTTTGTTCAGAACTTTACTAAGAGCTCTTTACCATTTTGGAAAATTGTGTCATCAATGTCAATACTACTTTGGTATCTACATCACCAATACAACACTAAATCAATCAGCTTATATACTTGGTCCCTTGGTATCCATGGGGCATTGGTTCCAGGACCCAACGCAACAAAATTTGTGAATGCTCAGTCCCTTAAACATGGTGGTATAGTACTGCATATAATCTATGTACATCTCACATATACTTTTTTTTTTAGAATTTTTAATATTTATTTTTTAGTTATTGGCAGACACAACATCTTTGTTGGTATGTGGTGCTGAGGATCGAACCCGGGCCGCATGCATGCCAGGGGAGCGCACTACCGCTTGAGCCACATCCCCAGCCCTCTCACATATACTTTAAATCATATCTAGACTAGTGACAACAACTAATGCAATATAAATGCTATATAAATAGGCATTTAAGTAACAATGACAAGGAAAGTAGATATTCAATACAGACACAATTTCTTTTCATGCATTTTTGATTTGTTGTTGGTTAAATCTGAGAATGCAGATTTAACCCACAGATACAGGAGCTAACTGCATAACTATCACATTCACAGTGATTTTATATACAGGTGCAAGCATTCAACTACCTCACTGTGACGTCTGGTATAATCT